GCGCAGCGTCGCTCCGGCCCGCGGCCCCGCAGTCATTCCGAGTGAGAGTTGGCATGTGCCACTGTCCCGTTGCTGGTAGTGCCGCCGGGACCGACCACCCGCGCGGTTGCGGTGAGGCACCGAGAGCCGTTCCCTTCGCTCGCTCATCTAATCCAAACACAAACCTATTGCCTTTGAAGCTGAGAGCGCTGCCGACGGCCTCGCAGGCTTGGTGCCAGATGGTTTGCAACCACCAGGCAGCCTCAGAAGTCATTTAGTTTTTACTGAGCTTGAGGATGAACTATTTAGTCACGCAGATAATAAAATAAACTTGCGGCTGGCACTTCGCAGAGGTCTTCTTCAACAGAAATTATTAAGAAAAACGGCCCTGCCTGTCCCAGTAGACGAAATCATATTTGATAAACTGTTCTGGCCAGAAGCGTTTGCCGCGTTCTGTGCAGAAGTCCCTTCTCAGGGAAGCGCTGTCTCCCCGCTCCCGGCTCGATGGCCACTCGAAGGGAGGCCGTGCCCGAGGTGCCGGGCGCGACACTTTGGCTCGGCTTCCCGTGACCCAGACCTGGCTCCGCCACCACAGGTCAGTGCGAGGGCACGGAGGCTGCCAGGGTGAGCGCACCAAGGTTTCCTCTTGCCAGAACTGGAATTTATGGTGATTAAGAAAAAATGCCTCTTGATGCAAAATCCTGCTCTGAGCACGTTACGGAGCCGTAACTCAGTGTGTTTGTTCCCCTCAGCTGTTCCAGATGTCAGCGAGACATTCATCCTCCCAGTCTGGGATGCTGCTGTCTCCTCCGTAGCGCAGCCGAGTGGAACTGGGTGCTAAGTGGCTAAAAAAAAAACAAGCAAAAAGAAAAGAAAAAAAAATCACAAAATGGAGCGGCACTTGTCTCCCCCAGCCGATGGGCCGGGTTTGGTTGCTTGGTGGAGAGCCAGTCCTTAGGGCCCGGATTAGCCGAGCTGAAAGCCGCAGCGCGAAGGCTGTGTTTGCGCACACGCTGCCCGGAATGCCCGGAATGCCCGGGATCGCCGGTTTTTCCCCAGCCACTCTCCTGGGCAGACGCTCCGTGGCTTGCCCAGGTGAGCTGGTCTGCCTGGCGCAGCGCCGCGCTTCCCTGGGCATCTTCCCCACCGGCAAGCGGGGCCGCTCGGCCGCTCGCCAAAGTGCCGGGAAGCGTTCACACTGCCATCTGCTCCTGCCGGAGTCGAGGCGAAAATCCCCTCTCGGATTTCTCTGGCACGCTCTTACCACGGTGGCACAACGCGGGCTCGGATGATGTGCCAGCAAATGATTTTGGTTTGCAGGGGAATCTTTTTTTTGCCACACTTTCTGGCTCATCGGATAAGCTGCTGAAAAGGGCGCTCCGGTGGTGGTGCCGCGGGGCTGGTCTCCGCTGGGTCCCTTCAGGTGCCCTGTGCCCGAATCCAGCACCCGCTGCCCCTGCCACAGCTCCTGCTCCCAACAGGTGCTCGAAGAAACACTCCAAGTTTTTCCTTCAACTGTTTTAATTAAAGCACACGTTGCGGTGCTCTCGGTCACGAGTTATTTACTCGGGCCCCTCCGTCCTTAATCTCGGAGCAGAATTGGAAATATCGATAGAAAGCGTAAATCCCGGGCTGCCGCCCGAGAGCTTTGTATCAGGTTTCGGCTCAAAAGAGCACCATTACCTTTAGCTGTCACGGATCTGCACGCTTGATCGATAAACTTCAAATATTATTAGAGATGGAGGCTTCAGAGATTTGCTCTGTTCTTTGGAGGGAGACGGAGATAAATCTTTCTTAAAAATTGACTTGCGTTTGCGCTCTCCGTCTTCCCGGTGAAACGCATTTCTCTTAGGTGTCTGGGCAGCTGCATGCGGGGCAGATTTATGGGCCATGTGCTTCTTGTAGTGAAAGATTTAAATGGTAAATCCTTCACGTATGACTTCACAAATCATGTAAAGTTAAAAGATTTTTACCGTTTCTGTTGCTGCTGTGCTTAAATTGTAAGGTATGGCCAGTAAATCATTTTAATGGAGGTGTCGCGCTTGACTCAATAAAAGAAAGAGACAATGGTTTAGCTTCTATTCCAAAATGTTAATGTATTAATCAACGGGAGAATAATTGTTTTTTACTGCGTTATAAATCTCGGTTGCCATTAGGATTGCAGCGAGGGCTGATGTAGCTGCGTTCCTAAATTAAAATTGTTTACACTGCTGTACATTCATTGTACACGGCCATAGCTCATTCCGGGTTCATTTCGGAGTTGTTCCTCCGCCCGATAAGTCATTCCTCTCCCGGGTGACGGCGTCCTGAGGGAGAGGCGCTTAGAAAAGAAAACTAATTGCCTGGTGAGGAGTTAGAGGAACGAAACAAAGCCGTTGGAGGCCCTCCGCGGCCGGGGCTCGCTCTCGGCTTGTGAAGAGGTTTTTCTAGGTCGGGGTAGGAGGCTCGTGCCTCCGGACGGGGCGGGCTGCATCCAACAGCAAAGGTTGCATTTCATGATGTCGTCGGGTCGGGCTGGGCGAGAGGCTGGTTGTAAACGCGTTGGCTGTGCTGGGTCGGCTGGTTTTCGGTCAAGGAGTTTCTTGGGCTGAAGTCGACGCGTTCTCAACAGGGCACTCATTAATGATGTTCCTCCAGAGCTAACGGTTAATACTCCCATACTGTGCTGCTATTCCCTGTGCCCCCGGCCCCCGGGGAGGTTGACGTTTGGGGAGCGTTCTAGGGGAAGGTCCCAAAATACGTACCCACCACCAACTCCATCTCTCCTCTCCTCTCCCAGCTGTTTTCCACGCGCGTAGTCGTAGCGCTGCTGCTTCTAGCGGAAAACACCTTGCAAGTCAAGCCGCCAGATCAGTTCGGCTGTGGACAGAGTTCCTCTGCCCGAACTCATCTGTCTAGATAGCTCCGTGCTTGACCCCGTTTCCTTTCGAGAGTGCAAGGGTGGCTTTCCCAGTGCTGAGAGCAGCTGCCGCCAGACCCTTCGGAGTGCACCGTAATGAGTCCCAAACTCTTATTCCTCTTCTGATCTCAACAGATTCTCGTGCAGGTGAGGAAGGGGCGATACGGAGCGTGGACCACGCGGTGGTCGGTGGCGTCGTGGCCGTGGTCGTGTTTGCCATGCTTTGCCTGCTCATCATTTTAGGGCGATACTTTGCCAGACATAAAGGTAAGACAAAGACCGAAACTGGAAAAGGCAGGGACGCGGCGCGTGTTTCCCCGGGCGCGTGACGCTGTCCTGTCTGATGCGAGAGACCCCTTGGTCGCGCTGGAAGGACGTCTGCTGAGGGCCCTTGGACACGGGAGGAGGAGGGAGGCTGGAGCAGCCCCCCGGTGTTCAGTGACAGTTTGGAAAACAAAACCCAAAGCGCGTTAGGGGGAAGAGAAAGCGCGGATGAAAGATTTGCCTCCTTTCAGTAAAGCCTGTAAAGCGCAATTTTTCCCATCTTTCTGTGCTTCTGGGGGGGGGAAACGGCCGTCACCGAATTCCTTTCCCGAGTAAGAGGCTGCAGGGAGCAGCACGCAGTCGTGTTTCGGCGCAGGGCCGGTGGCACCCAGTGCGTGGGTGGCCCTGGGGGTCTCTGGCGCCGGAGCTCCATCCTCGCTCGCTGCGGGCACCGTGTTTTCACCCCCCAGTGCGGTATATCGACACGGTTTCCGTGGATTTTTTCCCCTTTCCACCGGCGGCTCCGTGGCTCGGTCTCTGGGCGCCTTGCGGAGCCCTCGGAGGAGTCACGCGCCTCCCGCTTCCCTTTCAGGTACGTACTTCACCCACGAAGCCAAAGGAGCGGATGATGCGGCCGACGCAGACACAGCCATCATCAACGCAGAAGGAGGACAGAACAACTCCGAGGAAAAGAAAGAGTACTTCATCTAGAGCAGCCTTGGGTTTCGGTTTCGATGAGGTGTCCAACCGTGGACGGTTACTACTGGCCCTATTTAAACGCTAAAGAGACAGTGATATCGGAAGTTGCAACCAGCTGGTGTCTTTTTGTTTTTTAACAAAAAAAAAGCAAAGGGGCGGAGAGTCGTGAGGCCGGGAGGGTCCGGGATTTGCTGTGTAAAAATATTCCTCGTGAAGTACACTCTGCTGTTCGACACCTCACTTTGTTTGGGTTTTCTTTTTTTGGCCGAGTCCGGCTTGGGTTTAGTTTAGTGAAGTCATTTGCAGAAGATTCTGTGCCTTGTTTAATTTCTGTTCGTTGGGGTCGGGGGGAGGCGGGGAAGAAGAGGGGCTTCTGTGCGTTAGTTCCCTTCGGGTTTCTGTGGCTCTTCGTTTCCCCTTTCCCGTTCCGTTTCTGGAGTTGCCTGCTGGGACCCCGTGGAGTAGGTGGGATTCTTGGAAGCTGTTTCTCTCGCTTTTCCCCTCCGCCGTTTCCCGTTCGGAACTCGAGGTCGCCGGAGGAGAACCAGCACGTTGTAGATCCCGTAGTTTGCAGTTCAGTGTGCCCATCTCCCATTCCCTCTATCGCGACG